CTCATGCGTCTGGGACAAATTAAAAAGATAGAAGGATAAATACAAACCTCTTAATAGTAATGCAATTGGTGTGTTTTTAGCTATTCTTTAGGCTTACAGTATTATTAAGAAAATAACACATCAAGCACCAATTGTCACGTTATGTTTGCCATTTTAATTACGCTCTTTATGTCAAGGAAAACTCTTCAAGTTAATGAAAAATGATTTTAAAATATATGTATACATCCTGTTAATCCCAGTGTAAAAATATCCAAGAATTCAAGGCATAAAAAACTGGCCGGGATTCGGGATCCCAAGATTTAGATCCCTTATTGCCATAGGAAATGTAGACGATAGGGGGGTTAGCTGAAAATAAAGATTTCCAATAAGACTTCCACTTCATAAACGATTCAATCAAACCACTTTTATTGTTACTTTTATATGATGACTTAAACTAAGTCAATTATTTTATTCCCTGTTTACATTTGTGTGGTTGTTTGTTGTCTTATATTGGTTTATTCAATACTAAGAGCTCTTCATTTTTATCAAATGCAAAAGCTATCAATTAATTACAACAAATAGGATCAGTAATTAATACAGATTTATTGTTTTCTTTTATCGTGATATTTCCAGTTTTCCACTCTTGAAGATATAACAGAACCAGAATCAGAATCATTTTACTCAAGACTTACAATACAGAATGATGTAAACTGTAAAGAATTATACACTTCCAGAGGAAATTTATATCTACTTAATGAGTATTAAGTGCATGTGTCAATTACAAATCAAACTTTATTGTCACAAGAACGAGTGTACATAGCATGGCTATAAAATAGGTGACATTGGCAAATTATAATAAATACATAGTTGGTCAATCTTACATTCTATAGTTAAAAATAAAAGGCTGACTTTGATTTTTGAAGTATTTTACAATAAATATTCATTAATATGGTAGTGTTTTTTTTTATTAAAAATTTTGAAAATTCTTTTTAAATGTCATTGTATTGGCCATATTTTTTAAACCTACTGGTAACTTATTGAAAACTTTTTTCCCGTGTATGTTGGTGTCTTTTCAATGAGACGCATACAATGGATTGGTAACTAAAAATTACTTTTAAACCTTGTGTTATATATGTGGTCATAATTGTCATTTAACAAAATTTCATAGTTGGATTGTACCATTACTAATGTTTTGAATATGTATAAATTTGGAACAGTTAAGATTATTAATTCCCTAAACAGTGATTTACAAGATTTCCTAAAATATGAGAAAGTCATTATTCTTAAAAACTTTTTCTGTACTTTAAAAACTTTAGCTGAATCGCACGATAATCCCCACAACTCAATCCCATAGTTTGGAATTGGAAAAAAAAACATAGTAAATATTAATTCCAGTTTTAAGGTCATTTATAGTTACGTAGTACTAGCATTTGATAACAGGCAGAATTCAGTTTACTAATAATATTATCAATACAGTTACTCCAAGAAAAATTAATATCCAGTTCCAAACCAAGGAATTTTGCACTGTTACCGTACTAAGTGGTATCAACTGACCCTAAAAGATGATTTCTGAATTGTACCCTTCTTTAAATTGTAAAGTACAAAAATTGAATAGTTGAGTTTTATCTTGATTAAGTTTTAGGTCATCAGCTTAAAATCAGCTTGCCAATTCAAAGAAAGTTTGATTATTTTATGCTCGAATTCACTCTGGGACCTGGCTTTGATAATTGCAGTTGCATCGTCTACATATAAGATATTTTTTTATGAATTATTTCTAGGTAAATCATTTATATAGAGTAAAAAGAGCTAAGGTCCTAAGATAGACCCTTGTGGAACACCCATTTTTATGTTTTCCGAAGGAGACTTTGATATTAAATAACCTTTCAAAATTACTGTTCTTTGAGACAAGTTTCCTAAGTATGATTTAATCCATGTAATTGATTGTTTGGAAAATTTATATACAAATACTGTACTTCGTGATCACATTTCCTGAAACAGTTTAAATTGGTAAAAAATAAGTTAAGAACATATTTTTTAGTTCATCTATCAAAGATTAAAAAAGAAGATAAAAAATTATCCATACACACTTTATAATTCTTGAATAGCTAATACATTTTTCTGTTCAGGTAACTATGAATAATTATTTATATATGATTTTATTGCAAGTTAAACCTTAATTTACTTTGTTAAATATTTTAAATATTTAGCCCGTGTGTAATGAAATACAGATTTTCTGATCGTTCAATTAGATGTGTAAAAAATAAACAATCCATTGATACAATTTCACCCAAAAATCTTGTTTGTTTTGTACATAGGTGTACAAAATGTCTTAGCATGTTTAGTTTTGCAATTAACTGTTATAATCTCAATGTATTTTTGTTGTAAAAGACTGAGTAAATACTCAATAACCAGTAGTTTGTTTGGTGACATACAAAACTTTAACTGACAATACAAATACTAAAAGTTGGTTTTCCTGATTTTAAAAGCAAAGCATTATTTATAAGTGCTACAAAGAAGCAACTATGTCTTCTATAGATATGTACATGGCAAGATGGTCTTTTTTTAACCATTAATTGTGTTGAATTTGGATATGTATATTTAAATAATTTTGAACAAAAAAATAATTTTTAAAACCCCCTTTCTACAAATTGACTATTAAGAACCACCTGCCTGATATGTTTCACTGTTCTAAACTTATTAATATTGCAAAAATATAATATGTAAAAAAAATTTACTAATAGCCTATCCTCTTTGCTGACTTTTAATACAATATATTTCTGTTCAACAATAGAACTACCTGATCGTTTATTATCATTTATGATCATATACAATGGATACATTATGTTATTCAACTCTTATCAATCAAGTCACTATGACTTTAGCTCTGAAGATTTTTTTTTGTTCAGAATTCAAATTTAAGAACTGTACAACCAAAGTCAATACATTGATTATATGTTCAGAATGAAAAGAGTAATAAATATTGTGTCCCCTTTTAAATTTAATTTATTTGAATGTGCAATTGTATTAAATGTATCAAAATATAATTCTAAAGCATTTTGTTGTTTTTACAAATTAAAATGTCAATAATAATTGTTTATTCTTCATGGTTGTTATACATATGTTTCAAAGAACACAGTAAAAAATGGTGACTAGTATCCTAACATCTCATACTCATGGTGAATCGGTTTTTTGTCATACTAATTAGCTTACTTTTAACATTTAGTTGTAGTTTACTGTAATATGAGCGTAACAAGAATTATAGTTGCTTCAGCACTAAACAACGAAATAATGTTGTGTTTTCTTTTATTAGGATTAGTTAGAGAGCATTTAGAGCACGATTTTAGATGGTTAATATAAATATGTTTAATATGTAACAATTCATAAACTATATTTTACCTTTTTGAAATCCTTATTTTGTTATTTTTAAGGCATCATTACTTCCAGTATTTTCTAACCGTGACAATTGTCTTAAAAATTACTTTTGCAAGCCTAATAATTACTCAATGGCCCAATAATAATTATAATTAGGTATAATTTTACCTTGCTTTATACTTGCAAACGTCCAATGGTAATTATTCAAGAAATTTTCAAAACGGTAAACTACTCATGGTATGCTGATACTTTAAGTTATGGAACATAATTATTCCAACAATCTTATTCATGCAACTTAAATTTTAGATTTAATATAATAGAGTTAGTTAAATTGATATTTTTGTTATTACAAAGAATTATTTTGACCTGTAACAATATTCTAAAATTCCTGTCAGTAATTAATATTCTACAATACTCCTTGAGCCAAATCGTATAATCTTTTTTTAAGTTAAAACTAATTGTAGATAGAAGAAGTGTGAGTATGGTTCATTACTAATGGTTTATTAGAAAATGTACACAGCATACGTAACCACAGTGATAAAAAAAAATTAGAGCATATCTGTACTGAATTAGACGTTACGAACAAACAAACTGAAAAGTATGAACAAACATTGAAATAATCCATAAATTGTGTCTGGGAACCTCCAATTCCCTAATTCCTCACGTCAAAGTTCCTTGGTCAAATTTTAATATAAATTTGAAAGGTAAGAGCTTTCTCATATTGATTATTTATTTTTTCAATTTATGAAAAAATAGGGCACTGTGTTTGGATAACCCCCTAACTTTTAAAATATCATCTGTCTTGTGATCTGTTTTTACCAAAAATTTGTTATTAATTTGCAAACCACCAAGTCTATCTTTTGCTAGTCTCTAAAGTCTATCTTTAACAGCAGGACATCTTGAATAAATATTGAAGCATTGTGTGTACTTGATTAAGAAGGATAGCTGGGGTAAAAAAACCTTCATGTTTTGATACAGCTGACTGTGATCTTCAACAAAAGCTTTAAGTGTTTAATTACTTTTCTTGAGCTATAACTATTTGGCAGCTAATATTTCCTCATAAATATACGATTAAATTTTGCATATCAAAATGTGATACATTTAGCTTATTCAGGTAAATTAATCAAGTGAATAAAGATATAAATATTAAATAAACATTAATATAAGTGTTAGGATGAAATGGAAGCCTAAGGGTAAGTACGAGCATACTTATTTTAATTGTATGATTGTTTTTATTGTTTATATCATTGTAATCTATTTCACTTTCTAAATTATTGTATGTTTTATCACCTTTCAGGTATAGTAGATGAGTAAGAGAAAACTAGTATCATAAAAACTAGTGTATTTATATTTAATTTTATGCTGTATTAAATATTTTATATTAATCTTAATAAACATTTCTTTACTTTTAATATCTGCCATTAACTGATCCATGAGATCTAATTGTTTTTTATTTTTTTATTTTAGGTTCACAATGAATCCGTTTTATGTTCGTAAGTGAATGAACTAGGCATTAAAGGCACTGATCAAAATTGAATGATTTCTTCTGCCTTCTAACATCTTTATAGCTTAAAAAATAGAAACTAAAGATAATCATTTATTTGCTTGTACTTTTCAAGATTACTCATCCCCGAGTGTTTTGTTTTCAGGGGAAATTCTATTCTTGCTCAGATCGCTCTAAGATGACGGAAGAAGAGTGCCGGTAAGATTTCATTTATCTACTTTGCTTTGTATACCATTATGGTAAAGTGTTTCCAGATCTGGTTTTATATTAGTTAATCTTGTCAGATCTGGAATGAGTCCAGCCGCAGATCTGGTCATATCTGGCATCCAGATCTGAAATGAGTCCAGATATGGAACCCAGATCTGAAATTAGACTATATCTGGATATGGCCAGATCTGAGATCTACCTTTCAAAATTTATATTTTAAATATTTTCCCCATACCAGACTCTGTAACACCTCCGATTTTTATTTGTTGAATTAATTTATTTTTATAAGTTTATTTGTGAATGAGAATGAATTTAAATTTAAAGTGACAAACAATGCTATGGAAAACATTTAAATATTGAAACTAAACATACTTTGATTATGGACTGTAAAATTGGTTCATATTTTACATGGATCTATGTGTGTGCAAGCGTGTATTTAGTCAAGTACACCACTGTGTTACTGTTACCACCTCGGCATTGGTCGCCGTGTGTGCCCGGTTCCGTTCACTAATGTGGTTCACTGTTGGAATTTGGACCGTAAAAACTCTGCATTCCAAAATTTGTGTGTGCAACTAGCCTAGTGCTTGTTTTATTCGTAAAGTTCCACTGTAACAATCACATGGACGCGTGAGATTTTCTATTAACATTTTCATTAAACCATATATCAATGCCCTGGTTACTTAAAGAAAGTTTAAATTCTACAATCTATAATAGCCTTATTAATAACAGTACCTACCATAGTTTAGTAACCCTCCACAACATGACCAATAATTATTTTTAAATAGAGGATTTACACTCATATTATTTATACTGCTTTAACATTCTATACTCACAATTAATTTTCAACCAAAAGTAAGAAAATAATTGCTTCAGCATGGCGTTATCGTGATAAGTTGAGACTAAATACATTTCAATTAATCATAGTTCAAAAACCATAAATTTAAATCATGTGTGGTTTCAGAGGTCATTATCTGATTTTTGAAGACGGTGACATAACTCGACCTTCTATAGAGAAGAGAGAATGGAAAAAAAATCGTTTTAATTTTGACGATGTCGCCGAAGCGATGCTTACATTATTTACAGTCTCAACTTTTGAAGGATGGCCTGGGTAAGTGTGGAATCCATAGTCGAGTTGTGGATTTAACTTGTGGCTGTGATTTCAGAGGACACTACCTCACTTTTGCGGAAGGCGATATATATCAGCCTTCTATAGAGAAGAGAGAATGGGATAAAAACCGGTTTCACTTTGACAATGTGGCAGAGGCAATGCTTACATTGTTTACTGTCTCCACCTTTGAGGGTTGGCCCAAGTAAGTAGAATCTTGTTCATCGTTGGATACCGTTGGATTGGCAGTCTCTTCATCTCGGCTCTTTTCACCTTCATATTGGTTTCTCTATTTAGTTGGTTTTTGACACACATTAATAATTTTTCGTTCTGTTGTTTACAGCTGTATTTTGTTAGTTTGGCCGTTGCTTATGTTCACTCCTTATTTCATAGGGCTCAAATTATTTTACATTATTTTATCCATTTCCTAATTATATTTGACAACTATGCACTATATATTGAAGTTTAAAGCTCTTTTATGTTGTGCTAACCTATTAAACCTATTCATAAATATTTTTTCTACCAATCCTGTTTTTAAGTAAATAATGAGCAAATAATTGGCAGTTCATAACGGTTTAGTATCATATTTTTTATATTCTAAACTATGATTCACAGACTTCTTCTATAACTTATTTTTATTTTATTTTTATTCTATGCACGATATTGCCAGTTTCAAGTTCAGTTCAGTCAAGTTCAGTTTCAGTATCAGAGTTTTAATGCTTAAATTGTGCTCTTACACATCACATAAACACTCAGTTATAACTTTGAGAAAAATGTAAGTAGCTCTCCAGGAATTGAGTCAAGCTTTGATTACATCTAAATCTAGGCTACCTCCATACAGAAATGATAAATCTATGTAACAACTTTAAAATTCCATAGCAAGTAGTTTAATGTGTTTTTGATGTATCAAAAAATCACACATATTTTGATTTTTAATACTTAAATATTTTGTTACATAATGATATTGGTCGGCTCAAACTTAAGGTTACCGGTATACAAAAACAATAATTTTGGCTTCAGGTTTTACTAACTGGAAAATATAAGTACAGAGTTTTCTTTTCTAATTGCTTTTGCTTCATTGCTTCAGAGTTTTGTACTGTAATTTGAAATTTCATTATAATCATCCGAGGGATAACTAACATGAGAACATTAACATGTTACAATCAACATAGTATAATATTTTAAATATTTAATGCTCTTGTGTAATATTATTTCAAATGTTTTAATTTTTTTTTGCACTTGTATAATTATCATGTTGTTTTTTGTATTCAACACCATAGGTCAAACATTTTCTTTGTCCTAACAAAAGAACATAAGATATACAGAAATCTGCAGTATATAAGGATAGAACACTATGTACTTGTCAGATTAAAAGATATAACAAAATAAAATAACATTAATTGACGAATCAACATATACCATTAAAAGTAATAATTAATATATTAATTATGACTAATCAATCACCAAACCTTAACTGAATTAAACAAAGCTCATGAAAGATTAAATTAAAATTTATATCCAGGAAAATTTGTGATCACATCAACAATTTACATTGCATTTTATTTGCATTGTCTCATGAAATCAAAGCACTATGTGATCATCTCCCGTGATCATGACAACGTTGATATCATTTCTCGCGATCACGGAAACATAGTAGTAATCTTCTGTGAACTGAATTGAAGTGACACGACTTTGTGAAGAGAGGACAAACGGCAGTTTGTGGAGGATTTTAGTGTTCATCAATACAAATTTCCTGGTCCCATACAAAATATAAGTACAATTCATAGAACTTTTCCCTGTCATCATAATGCAAGTACAATTAATTCTTGATTCTTCCGGTCAGCCGGACACCATCTTTAGCCTAGATTGTCTTAATTGCCACTCCTACCTCTTCCATGGTACAACATAAATCTTCTTAATCCTCCTTCTGAATCGATTTAATGTTCTGCCACTTGTTGACGCAAGGTGGGAATTTGAATTTGGTCAAAGAAAAATTGATTTTGGCTAAATGGGTTGACCAATACCGCACTCCATAGGGAGTTTTCACAGAATAAACCAAGATTTTTGACTGCTGAAACTGACAGTAGGGTTTAGGTTCCTTAATAGTCTTAACCCGTTTATCTATCCTTGCTTTGTCAAGGTTTTAGGCAAGAGATCAGCAAAGTTTAAATCACCAGTGAAACCGAACTCTTCATCTAGATATTGACAGTGGTGTCAACAGAGGTAGACATTTATGTGTGTAGCACTAATGTACTAGTTATTGAATATCATCCAATAAAGTAATTTAACTGATTCATATAAGTTCTGATAACTAACTATCAGTTTATAGGTGAAAATGCATTATAATGTTGAATGTTGCTATTTCACTTCACAATTTTACTCTGCATAGTAAAATGATAAAATGATAGTAAAATGCATAGTAGAATGATGAATAGTTAGATGATTCTGTAAAGTCTTTTACTTACTCGTTAATTTTCTTTTTCAGTTTGCTGTATGTGTCTATCGATTCTAACGCAGAAAACAGAGGGCCAATACACAACTTCCGTCCAATAGTAGCTGCTTACTACATCATTTATATCATCATCATTGCTTTCTTCATGGTCAACATATTTGTAGGTTTTGTTATTGTTACATTTCAAAATGAGGGTGAGCAAGAATACAAAAATTGTGAGCTCGATAAAAATCAGGTAAGGAGTTATGATTAATGTGTTGTATACCTCATACATTTATCATCCACACCATTGAAAAAATCAAAATGTTAAAAATGATCATGTTTCTACTTTCTAAATACAATTTTAACACGTTCGCTACTGCAATAGTTCGAAATTTTCTATTCACATGGACCAGCGACGCACATATGCGACGGCCGGTTTCCACCCATAGACTGCTGTCGCATATATGCGACGGCTAGTCACATTAAAATAGACTGCCGACGCATATTTGCGTCGGGGTTCTAATGTTATTAAAGTGCTTATATCTTTGTAGTGGTCTATTTGAAGGCACTGAATTCCCTGCAGTGGTCTACAGAGATGTCTGACGCACAACTGCGTCGCTTGGTCTGTGGATATGATGATTGGTGACGTCATATAATAGTTGGAAAAACTGGCCTTTACTTTTCTGCATCACTGTATGTATGTATGCAGTATGTATGCTGCATTATCCTATGTAGCTTTTATATTTGTTCAGTTATAAACTGTTCTTGAATAATCTGTTTATTTTTTACTTACTTTTACCTTAAAACACAAAAAAATGAACCGTCGCATATATGCGACGTTTAGTCTATTTTAAGAAAACTGTGATCATTTTCACTATTGTCTTCGCTGTAGACCGGGCGTCGCAAATATGCGACATTACAAAAGGTTATAAAAAATACAAAGAAACAAGAATAATTTATTTACAAACACGATTGTAGCGTATTACAATGTAAATGATCACTGTCTCACAGGTTTTCGCCCGTGGTCTGTGTGTACTGTTTTCCAAGTGACAGCCGGTCTATGTGTAAGATTCAAATGTATACCTCGATCTGTGGCAATGACCGCGGCGTCGCATATATGCGACGCTCAGTAGCGAACGTGTTAACTTATTTTCACTTCTGCTAATGAAAAGTATATGTATAGGCTAAGCTATGTTGTTTAAAAAAATCATAAGATTTATGGGTAGGCCTATATTATTATGTGATACTTGTCATGAAAAGCTCTATATCAGCAAACAACAATAGTCATCAAGTTAACAAAATATTCAACTTCATAAAACTTTTCCTCATTAAACGGAAAATAATTTCAGTTAAAACCACCTTCTCATAGGAACTCACTTTCTATTGTCTCGTTAATAACCTACTATGCTACCACCTTGGAAAAACGAAGATTGTTGAATTATTAAAAATTAATCCAGTTCACTGAAACGTTGTTCGTAAAAAAACAAAATGCCTATATACATCGCCTCCCCCCATGCCTTGTACATCAAAGAGCACCATTTGCATTGTTTAATGTTGCTGTAAGTTTATAGTATCATTTAATGATGTTTAATACTATTGATTGGCTTTTTTTAATTAAGGGTAAACACGATCGTACTAAGTTTGGAACGGAACTGGATTTATATTTTGTTCCTAATTGTTTTCCTCCCATGATAAATTATTATCGTTTCTCATGATTGTGGTGAAATAGCTGACATTTTGAACAAATCCTGAAATGAATGTAATCCCATACATACCATCCCAGGAATATATTTTTCCGGAATATTTGCCAAAACTTCGGGACCGGTCCATCTCTAATGTTTATAGTCCCAATGCTACAAAAGATTTAGTAGGCCTAGTGTTAATTTAAATAAAACAATAGGAAAGTGTCCTGGGCAGCCACCAGTCACTGAAGATTTGATCAGCTATGCTATTCCACCTTTTATACTCTAACAATTCCTTTATATCGTTTAGCTTTGTGCCTTATGCATGTTTATGGCTGTTACTTACAGAAACTTACAGAAATAATTCTACAGTTAATGTACAAATATACCCAGTGTCGGATTAACCACTAGGCCATGGCCTGTAGCCGCAATATTTTGAACAAACAATTCTTTTTTTATTGAATTTCGATTTCTAAAATTAATAATTATTCATGCTTGTTGGTTCAATGATGCCCACAATTATGATGCACCTGTAATCAGGGGTTACAATCATGATTTTGCCGGGATTGTGGGATATTTTCACGATTTTGTTGCGATCACGGTTAGTGATGATGATATCCCTGTGATCGTGGGAGATTTTTCATGATTTCGCCACTATTGCAGGGAAGCTACACATAAGGGGCAGGGGCCCTATATCCATCCAGCACTGAATATACCTGAATTTCAGAAACCAATCTGTTGTTGATTTGATTAGTGATCAATATGAGATGGTTCAACATTACTTTTTTCAAACAGTATTAAATTTTTTTGAATACTTCAACTCACTTCTCAAATCATTTGTTTGTTTCAGAGGAACTGTATAGAGTTTGCGTTGAAGGCTAAGCCAGTTAGAAGATATATTCCCAAGCACCGGTTCCAGTACAAAGTGTGGTGGTTTGTCACGTCCCAGCCCTTCGAGTACACAATTTTTATCCTCATTATGATCAACACAATCACGTTGGCAATGAAGTTCTACAACCAGCCACCATTGTACACATATTGTCTAGACATCCTCAACATTGTGTTCAGTGTTGTGTTTGCTGCAGAGTTTGTCTTCAAGGTGGCAGCTTTTCGTTTCAAGGTACAATTATAACTCTTCAGAATCAGAAAGTTTACTGTCATTGATCAAATGCAGATTGAAATACACAATTTCACAACGCTTAAAACTAATTAATCAATTAACCAATAGGATAAAATAAATCTTCAGTACAACCTCAATATAACAAACCTCTTCGCTGAGTTCTTTAGTAGTTTTTTTTTATGTACAAGTAAATTTCACTTCTACAAAAAAAAATTAAATGTACTCAAAACCAACCATGATAAAGGTGTCCTATGATGAGGTTGAGTTTGTTAAATGCCTAAACAACTTTAAAAGAGGGTCGTGTAGTTTTTACTGTGATAAATAGTTTTTTTTTTTTTTTTCTTAACCCTTTAGGGGTAAAACAAGCCTTGAGGCCTTGAGGGGTGAAACAATTATATTTGAGGTTTGCTGGGCCTACATGTGCTATTGCTTCTAGGAATGCCGGCAATTTATTTTTATTTTGTAGGAATGGCCATAAATGTAGGTGTTTAGTAAAAGTTTCATAGAATACTTATTTATCAACAATTTTGGCCTAAATTTGTTTTGTTTTTTAGATAATTAGATCGTACATTGTAAAATACTAATTTTAGTTGGTGTTTCATGAGTTAAAATAGAATATATTCACGGGCAAGACAGAAAAATTGTGCAATATATTCAAATTTTCAAAGTTTGAGTTAAAATAACATAATTCAAAACTATATTCATTGATATTCCATTTTACATTTATTTTAAAGAACATTAAAAACAAAATCATGCACCTATAGGCCTAAGTTACCAAGTCCAGTTACTGGTACACTTTATGTGATTAACCAAAAACTATCAGCAAAACGCACAAATAAATTATGGGATTATCACTTTTTAAAGGTTTAAAATGTATTTTCCAACGATTCATGACCATAACCTGCAACTCTATTTTACCAAAAAAACTCATAAACAAACATTTACTAGAACGTAAACAGTTGAATAACACACAAACTAGCTGTGTAAATCCGTCTACTATTGCGTAATGGTTTTTGATTGGTTTACCACATTTCTCAGCTCCATTGTACAGTAAAAGAGCAAAATAGTTGTTGCCAACCTCCTTCTGTCACATTTGGTGCAATTTTCAGCCAGCTTTATTGAAATGTGTTTCTGTATGAAGTGATTTTTTACTCCGAGACGCCGGCATTTCTCGTGCAACCTCGACCGTCTCCGACCCATAGTGGGGGTATAGCTGACGAGCCGTAGTGCAGCATTGGTAAGCGCTTTTCGTGTACCTGCAAGTCTACTTTGTGGGTTACTGTTGGTTGTGTACCAGAAACTGAGTGGCACAAACTTGGTAGAGGGTCATAGAGATAACACCCTGTTTCATCACCAGTCGCCATTTAATTTTTAAAAATTTGGATCTGCATCGGCTATATCAACAGAGTTCCTGATACGTATTTAAGTATAGATGTACACATTATTTATAAACAGTGTGCACATGTTTTTGACCAATGGACAATAACCAAAACATATTTCCTGCTGGTAAGAGCTCTTCCCTCGAGCACGGACTTGCAGTCCATTCGGGGGAATACTATTCTTACCCTAATAATGTATTCCTGTATTTATTAAGCTGAATAAAGTGATTTTTGATTTGATTTATTTGATATCAATGAATCCACAAGCCATTAACATTCGAGGTTCTTTGTGCTCATGAGACACCATTTTTGGAACCATTCACAAACAAATTTGATGCACGTTCAAATAATCATGAAGAATAGTGCGAACACTTCCATGAGATAAATGTACCTTAAATGTAAAATGCAATTTCAAAGTTTGGTAATTTCCGATTTTCACGCACAACTTGTCGTACTCGCTCAATGTTTCCGTCATTGACTGCTGTTAAAGGACGTCCACTACGAGGGTCATTGTCAATGCTTTCACAGCCTTCACGACTTTTCTTCATCACTTCTTCTCCATAAGCTTGAATTAACAACTCAAGAGTCTCACTAGGTGGTTTTTTAAGTAGAAAACAGAACTTAATCTTCGCACACTGTTTATAAAATACCATTTTTCAATGCAAGTACATGACCGACAGTAACCGACAATGTAGACTTGCAGGTAAGTAAAGCTCTTATCAATGCTGCACTACAGCTTGTCAGCTATACCCCCACTACCGATATGCCCTCCTCAGGAAACCACACAAAAAACCACAACAGGTTAACATGTTAAACGTGTTTCAAAAATATTTGGTTATTGTGCAATATTGTAGTGATTTTATTGTTTCTTGTTTTAGAATTACTTTGGAGATGCATGGAACGTTTTTGATTTCATCATAGTACTGGGAAGCTTTATTGATATTGTCTATGATAGATTACATGTAAGTATTAGTATTAAACTACAAAATTCTTTAGCTTTTGTAAACTACGGTATGGGAAGGATCATTTGAAAATTCAATGTCTAGAATGTATTAACATTTTACCACCTTTTAGTCAATATTTTCTTTCTATTGAGTAGTTTTATTGAATCTTTCCAATTTAATTTCAAAAGTAAATTTAATTTACAATAGACCTCAGATAAAGATTGTTATGTCAGTTTTTTCACATAAAAAACCACTTAAGTAGGAGGTTTTCTCTTGATTGTTGGTTTTCTGTCCATCCGCATACTGCTTAAGGGTACTGAATCGGATAATTTGGGTTATTTTATGAAAGCCACTCATAAAAAAGTTTTAATTTGTAAATTACATAACACTATTTCATCCAATTCCAAAAAGTTGTATTCCTATTCTCACTGACCCTGCCAAGTAATGACTGAAATTTATTGTTATTGCCCAGTGGCTTAGTTTGTAGTTTTTGGGTTTATTGTACATTGATTAAATAATTAGTATAGTTGTCTGCTGAAACTTTAGATTAGAGTAACAGCTTGTTCTTATTAAGCGGTGTTTCCACTATGCGCCATTTTCTTGCATCTTGCTTCATGCGTTTAGGCCCACCGCATGCTACAAAATAGTCGCAAGAGTCGATGCAAGTATTAAGTCCGACAGGGAGCACTCTGCCCCACACGCGCCTCATCGCCAGATAGTAGTGTACATCAGTTACTTGCGTCTTTCTTTTTGTCTAAAAACAGGTGTTTTTTTAAATAGTGATTGAGTGGAGTGTTTTGAAATTGTATGTGAAATTAAATCCAGCAACATGTCAAAATCAGTAGTAGACATCCTTGTTAAATTTTGAAACAGTCGGTCTTTATCAAGTTTGTGAACTTCACTCATTACGTCACCAACTAAGAACCTTGACCCCAAAATAAGGCCTTTGCCAAAAAAAGGCGCTTGTTCTTTGTAAAATGATGATTAAAGCTGCACATTCAACACTACACACAACCGGCATTGTAACACTGATGCACATGAGACAGGCTTAGTTAGTTGTTTCAACAAGTGGATAGATGCAAGTGGAAACGCTGCTACGAAGTTAACAGAAAATGGGGACTGGTTGAGATAGCATGGTAATATTTGTTAGTGTGTCTTGAATAACATGTTTTGAGGTTTCAGTTTTCAATTACTAGGATTCTATTGGTTTTATTGGATTGTAAAAAAGTTCTTAATTTGCATCGCCGTGTCACATGAAATAGTCATTAGATTCATATATAACTACTTCGATTTTATATTTATGTTTAAAAAAAAAAATTGTTATATGTACACCTCATCTCTGATAAATTATATATTTTATTAGAATAATTTTTAACTACTTTATTAAAATCTTTACTAATATCTCAAATTGAAAAAAAAATTTCTTAATCTTTTTAAGTTGTCTTTGGCTTGAAATCAGTTGTATTTGTTTGGTAACCAAGTATGTCCAAGTACCAAGGTAAGGTCGAAAAAACATTTTGAATTTAACAAAAAGTGTAGCTGTCTAACAACTAGAGGTGTGCGGATATCCGAAAAATCGGGTCGGATTCGGTTCGGTTCGGATATCCGTATCCGAACCGAGCCCAAATTCGATATCCGACAATATCCGTTATATATCCGACTTTTTCGGATAGACAATATATTTTGACGTTTTGGACAGAAAACTAAATCTCCATAACCACCCAGGACAAAATTACAGCAATACGTTTCCAACGACCTAACAGCAAACGGGAAAGAAGCCGTATGATGCAATACTGATAACTAGTTTAGTTGTTATCGGCTGTTTTGCTTTACGATTAGATTCATCTGGAACGAACAGACATAAAGCAGAAAAGAACCATGGTCAAATGAAAGTCAACTCGCGTAATAGTTTTTTTTACAGTACTGTTTCAAAGTAGAAAAATCTAGCCTACTACTGTGATGTTACGTAAACAATAGATTTAATGTTTCCCGAAAAAAAAGTCAGAATAGAAACAATAGAAAGGCAACACAATAGAAGGGTGGGAGGGGTTGGGCAATGACCTCGAAAGGAGCGCGGGTAGTGAGTCAATTAGGACCGGAGGGGGAAGGGGTGGGTAAGACCTTGAAGCTATATATAGACTTGCACTACTTCCCTAAACCTAAAGGACTGGCGAGTGGTATTCCAATCACAGGACAAGATACGTTGTTTTTTGGGTATTCATTGCCCGGTTTGACTTTGGATTGTCTTACTGTGTAGAAACTTTGAATGATAAAAAAATAAAGTTAGAACTAATCACGACTATTTAGCATTGATTGTGTACATATTAAATGATTAAACTATAGGGACCATGGATATATACAAACTTTTGTCGTGATTTTAATTTCAACATCAAAATACAATATTGCACAATTGTGATATTTTAGGTTATTGACCTTTATTATGCATCCGGTATTGCTGTTTCAGAAGAGAAGCACGTTGATAAATTATAAATTGATATTCCCGTAGTTAAAAAGAATTATTTTATAAACCTATAAAACAAAATCATAAAATCTTACATAAAGATAACAATAACGGAAATTGTAAAAAGGGTATAAAGATAACAACGTTATTCTTTCTCTTTGTTCTTCTATGTCTTGGGTTTCCCTTCATCACGCATTCAACAAGTTGCCATGGTTACTAATCACCCATGTCGTTATCAGCTTTTGTGACCTAGCGCACAGCAGAGGGGTAAAACTTGACAAAAATCGGTTAATTTTTACCTATTATTTAATTACCAATGAATGTACAGTACTACTTTATTGGTATTTGGTACTGTATTAATAATCTGTAAAAATGGCAATTTTTTGTCAAATTTTACACCAATTTTATTGAAATTTAAAGGTGAATTTTAATAAAACAATTATTACCAAATATTTGTATTCATTTAAAAGATTGATTTGTGGTATTGGGTTGCCCACTGAGTGCAGCCGAGCGGCACTAATGAGGGTCGGACCTTCTTGGGGGTGAACAATAGAAGGATTATCAGACCCTCCCCTCCCCCGTGGTCTGGAGAAAGCTTGTAATGTAAACAAACTAGTGATGTGACGAGTCGGGTACTTTCCTGACTCGAGTGACTCGACTCGCCAACTGCCGTGAACTCGAGTTACGAGTCGAGTCAGACTCAACTCGAAACTCGACCCGAAACCAATGCATCATGTGAGTCTGCAACGACTCGGAGTCGACCAATAGGGTTATAGTTTTGCGAGTCGGCCGACTCGGTAGCGGCCAATAGCGTATAAGCTTTACGAGTCGAGTCGACTTGACTCGAGACGTTCCGAGTTCGTGTAAGTTCGGCATTCTCCGTACGAGTTCGTTTTGTGGATCGTGAAGGGTTATACTCGCACTCGGCCAATAGGTTTTCAGTTATACGAGTCAACTCAACTCGCGTTCCGCCAATAGCGTTGAATCTATGCGAGTTGACTCGTAAAGCTGTGACGCTATTGGCCGAAAGCGAGTGCGAGTAAACTCGAGTCAACTCGTTACGTCCCGAGTTCGTTAAGGTTCGGCTTTCTCCGTATGAGTTCGGTTTCTTGACTCGGCTTTTGCGAGTCGGACTCGTAACGTTACGAGTTCGTGTAGCTTCGGCAATCTCCGTACGCGTTCGTACCAACTCGAGTTGTGAATGAGATGACTCGAGTTGACTCGACTCGGGTCTTGACTCGAGTCAACTCGACTCGCCAACTCAACTCGTCACATCACTAAAACAAACTATTGCACAAGCGTGACTTGACATTGGGCTGCTTCAACTATAATTTTGTCAAATGAACTGTGATGTTTCAAAATCAAAAACAATCATTTGGGACCATTCTGCTTAACAATAATGGACTGCAATTATTGTTGAACATACAATCCATTTTTAACAAACTAAGATTATACGATTCAAATACAATTATAAAAATTATCTTGGTATTTTACTTGGGGTAATGAAGTTATGTAGGCTAGTGTAATTCTCGGTTCATCAAGGTTCTACTGAATTATGTTTGGCAGTGAATAAGTGTAGAATGCAATTTATAAATTCAGGGATACACACCTTTTACACAGTTATAAAGTCTAATTGCCCAACATCAAATCGTGAGCTAGAGCCCATCTTAGTGCATTAGTGATGTTTTCTAAACTTGGCAAACCCCCAAAATGCCACTTAAGGCCAATAATCCGTTCCAAAAACGTAAGGAAATACAATGTGAAAATAAACTTGAGATCAAACTCCTTGGCTTGTGAGAACCAGGAAACAAGATAAAACATAACCTCAAGTAAACAAGCCCAAACGTTTGACATCAGTCCTGCTGAGCTAAGGTGTTGTGTGAAGATTTCGGCTGCTAGTGTACTTAATTCAAGCAACCAACTTTTGAAAATAAATGTTGTGAATTGTGATTTTCAAGAGAGAGAAAACTGTGGACTTGGCTAATTTGAAATTCTATAATTCAAAATCGCCATTTAAGTTTATTTACACAGCTTTACATTGTTTTATAGGTTAAAAATACATATGCAGCTTATTATTAACCGCGCGGAACTATCCGAATCCGAAAATATCCGAATCCGAACCTCCCAATATCCGATCCGATCCGAACCGAGCCTCAACTATCCGATCCGAATTCGATCCTAAATGAAATTTCACTATCCGCACACATCTACTAACAACAACCACAGGAAAGGAGTCATCCAACATTACCCCCCTTAAATATTTGAACCTTCAACGATCTACTAAAGACAGATATTTCTCTGGCTTAATCTCCCTACTAGGTAGAAAAATGAGAACGGTAAATTAGCTACATTTACAGAAAATTTCATTGGCAAGAACAAAATAAAATTATTGTAACAGAAATGCTTAAAAGTTTGAATACATTCATACCAAAATAAATAATCACAGTATTTGTTTCATCCTAATCCCTTTGTGTCATTACATGTCTCTACATAGACTCAGAAGGTTTGTAAGGCATTGGTTCTAACGTTCTGAGCACATGTTCACTATAAGCTGATT